CCACTTAGAGAACTGAGCTAAGGGGCAGGCCCCCTTAATCTTACTGGATTTTCACCCAGCATGCCTCCCTCACTCCTACTCAGGGCAGGCAGGAGTCAGGTTTTACAGGGACACCTCTTTTTTTTTTTTTTTTTTTTTTTTGGCGGAACCGGGGATTGAACTCAGACGCTTGTGCTTGCTAGGGAAGCGCTTATTCCACTGAGCCATCTCCCGGGCCCCGTGTAGCATCTATTTATGTGATAAAAATAGAATTAAAAATAAATATGTCAGGCTTGAGAGACAGCTTAGTGGACTAAGCCCTTGCTTAGGCAAGCACAGGGACTGGGTTTGATGTCTGGCACTGCAGGCCATGCCAGCTGCACCTTCAGGGACCCCTGAGCCGGCAACAGAGTCTGGGCAGAATGGTGCACACCTGTAATTCCAGTGCTGGGAGGCTGAAAACAGGAGGATCGCTATGAATCCAAGTTTCACAGTGAGTCCCTGTACCAAGTACATGAATAAATAAATATGCCAAAGAGCACAGGGGCACACACCTGTAATCCAAGGATTCTGGGAGGCTGACACAGGAGGATTGAAAGTTTGAGCCCAACCTGGGCAATCTAATGATTTAGCAAGATGCAGTCTCGGCCAGGCAGGTGGTGCATGCCTATAATCTCAGCATTCAGGAGGCTGAGGCAAGAGGACCATTGCAAGTAGGAGACCAGCCTAGGTTACAAAGTGAGCTCAAGGCCAGCCTGAACTGCATAGCAAGAACCTGTCTCAAAAAATTCAAAAAGAGGGGCCGGAGAGATGGCTCAGTGGAATAAGTGCTTCTCTGGCGAGCACAGGGGCCTGAGTTCAATCCCCGGTTCCGCCAAAAAAACCCAAAAAAACAAAAAAAAAAAAAAAAAAAAAGACCCAGTCTCAAAATTAAAAAAGGGCTAGGCAGGTAGCTAGGAGGACCCTAGATCACACACACAGGGGGAGAGAAAGACAGAACCAAATTTACATCAATTGAAAATATGAACATCAACTGGAAATTTGGAAAAAATATAAACAAACATTTCACACAGAACAGCTAACATTGGAGAAATAAACAAGCATTTTCAATTACGTTGTTAAGAAATTGTTAGAATTAGCTGGGTATGGTCCTGCACACCTGTGGTCCAGCACTGGGAGGCTGTGGCAGGAAAATCACAAATTCAAGGCCAGTCTGGGCTAAGATGGTGCTGGTAGGAGTCCAACATACATGGTCATAATCATTCTTTTTTTTTTTTTTTTTTTTTTGCGGAACCGGGGATTGAACTCAGATCCTTGCGTTTGCCAGTCAAGCGCTTATCCTACTGAGCCATCTCCCCGGCCCCATCATTCTTGTACTTTATATCACGAGCTTTAATATTTTTCTGAGCAATAAAATGAAAGTAGCTCTACTAGATTTTAAAATAAAAATGCCAGAATAATAAAGCTAAGACTAAAGAAAAAGGTAAAAAAATTAAACAGATTGGGGACCGGCAAGATAGCTCAGCAACCAAATACATTTAAAAAAAAAT